AAGTAGTAATCAGTATGGCTTGTTTTCACAACTTGTCGATTTTTCACGGATTCGGAGTTTCATTTCGCTTTATTTGACGTCTCTGACTACAGCGAGACCATCAAATCATTCAGTACACCATTGTTTTCATTTGACTACTTTATCCTTGACTTTTAGAATTTGTCTCACGGGTTTAGTGCCTTTCACTCTGATTTGACTGCAAATGTTTGACGATGGCCTTATTTTATTCAAAACGCGAAAGAAAGATAAATGGTTTAACTTTCCGACCGAGTCTTCACTAAGGTAACCACGCTTTCGGAAATCGTAACCTAGCCTTTTAATTAGAAACCTGGCCTTTGCCATCTTAAAAGAAATTGTAGTCAACTTGAAAGAAAGCTGAAGATAAATTATAAAATCAAACAAACTGAGGAGGACTGTTAATAGTCAATTCGTTCTCGGTCCCGCGCGGTTGTCACCCTCACAGGAAGACCATTATCTTAATGCTTTCTTTCAGGATAGTTTTGTATCAATAAGAATATTATTAAACGACCCTTATACTAGAGGGCGAAATGTGTTATCATTTAAATTATTATTATTATTATTATATAAATTGGTTAACTAAATAGTGGATTATGGAGGAGAATTGAAATCTTGTAAAACGATTTCTTGTGATTTTCATATTGTAGTGAATTTTAGTCTTCATTTAGAATGGACATCTCGCCACAACATTGCATCTTGATCAAATGTAAAATTCTCATTGGACTTCTATAACTTTTCATAGAGATTTTAGTCTTGAATCAAAAACACTAACTTTAGAATTTAACTTGGCCTTTCATTCGGCTATTTTGATAGTTATCTGATCAGTCATACACTAGCTGACAGCTTTTTTGATTGACTTGTTAGAAAAAAGTACTTGCTTGCTGATATTGTGTTTCATAACAGCAAAATTTTGCCCCAGCCCGTAAAAAAAATATTGAAGTTGCGGGTGGTTAGATTAATATTGCTTCTTGTTCTCCAACTGCAGCAGTACTTTATTTTAACAGGGACAATCCATTACTCACTATTGCTCAGACTTTAGTATGCTCGAGTTTTAACATCATTTAGATCCCTTGAATAATGATTGATAATGGATGGCTGTAATTGGTCTAATTTTGTCTTAGCATTTGCAATGCAATGATTGTAATACAATTCTAATTGGTAAAACTGAATCAAACAGGCATGTACAGTTTACAACATTGAACGCACGCGTTGCAGCATAGGAATTTCAAAGAAGAAGCTGATAAACGCCACATAGCGACAAATTTACCCACAATGCAGCCTTCCTCACATCCCTTTGATTTATCAGAATAAATTTTTGAATCCCATTTTAACTTAATTTTGCCATTTGATCAAAAGACTGCCGCTTCATTTCTTTTCTTATTTATATAATCACGTGTAGCGAGATATATTTTATATATGTGGTCAGGTAAGAGGAATCATTCTAATCAATGTAAATATAAACAGTTGGTATAAATGGCAAGATTAATTGCTAGTGATGCTTGATATTAAAGACAATTTAATCTACTTTGCGTGTTTTAATTGGGTGTTTGGTCTGACTCGAACCCAGTCGTTTCTTTTGTTCGGGCACGCGTTGCATCAAGGGAAGTCCCACTTCCCTTGATCCTTTGCGCGCGCCAGAGAAAATAGAAGAGTAACGACTGGGTACGAGTCTGGTGTTTGGTCAACTATGTAGCAGAGACCGCGGAGCGTGAATTTGTTTGGTGGGGCTAGCGGCGAGGAGGTATTAGGGAGGGGGATGGGCGGGTTCGGAAATGTTTGAAATCTTAACTCTCGGAAATGTCATTTCCAGCGTTTTGAGGCATTATCAAAGACATTTTTTCCACACACAGGGTCAGCGATATTATCAATAAATCCCAAACAGACTT